TCTAAACATCACGTTCAACTCAGGGTTTAGATTTCTGAATTAATCTGGAGGAGGATGCAAGATGAATGCTTTCTGCTAGGGATCCTATTGCTGTTGACCTGCTGGTCACCAGAGACCTGGTCTGTGATCCTGGGTCTTTTGGGGTGGTAAAACATAGGAGAAGTCTGCTTTGGATGACTTTGAGGCTGGCTGATATTTTGGCTGTTAAACTTTGTTTGCATGACTAGGTGCTGTATTCCCAACCATACTAAGTTAAATACATTGTGCGGGGTGAAGACCAAATGCAAGAGTAGCTGGAGGCTGCTCATCTTTGGAAGTAAAAAACAAAGACAAATCCTTTATGGCTGTTCAGGGTGAGCTCCTGAAGATTAACTTCAGTCCCTTCCAGTCATTACTATTCCAGATGGTTTAGGGTCAGGGAGATTGTAACAAGGTTAATACCTGCCTTGCCTGATCAAACTTACACTTCAGAAATGTTTGTATGTGGTGTAAGTCTTACACGGTTAGAGCCAGGTGAGGGCAACCTACTTTTATTCTAAAGTCTTCTGTCTAATTTTAGTATAATTTAAGCAAATGAATTACCTTGCTGTGAAAGAACCTTGCAAGCATAACGGTAATATGTATTTCCTTCTGTATGTACCCAGACATCATTGATTTCATGGACACTTTCAGTAATCCAAATCCAGAATGTATAGCCATTCATCTATAAAACTCTTCTTGTCTAATTATTATGAGAATATGCATAGGGCTTCATTAAAAGTAGAGCAAAGAATAAGCAAGGAAGATCCTAAATGATCTCTATATAGAAAGAAAGATGTACAACAATATCAGAAAGGCAGGCAGGGGCTGTAGTTCCTGTTCCAATAAAATTTCTTATTCAGTGCTGAAAGAAACCGTCCTCTTCACTAAGTTTTCACCTCAGTATAAAAACTTTTAGAAAATGCATGGAAAAGTGTCCATAACGTAGAATAAAGAGGTTCATGAGTGAGCAGAAGGGAGCACAGGCAGCAGTGCAGCAGCAGGTTGGAAGCTGGAGGCTCAAATGGTATGAGAGAAGTCATAGGAGTAGTAACGGCAGCGGACGGATAATGTCAGCAGTTCACAAACCTGTGTGATGTGTGGCTGAATTATCCTCCATTCCGCCTCCTATCACTCAAACAAACCAAACCACAGAAACCCCTCCAGCTGATAGAGAATTTATATAAACTTTAGTGTCATAAATACCCCATGTTTCACTGAAGCCTTATGGATACATAACACACACCTGGAAATCAGAGGCATTTTCTTATAGAATAGAAAACAGCCTAGACTATTTCAGTTAGAAGGGACCAACAACAACCATCTAGTCCAACTGCCTGACCACTTCAGGGCTGACCAAAAGATAAAGCATGTTGTTAAGGTTTTTATCCAAATGTCTACAGCAATTGCCCATTGCTGGAGGAGGAGAGACAGAAAGCAGCATCTGGGATTTGCGTTGGTTTACTGTAGGTCTACCTATGTTGCAGAGTTTTCCGTTCCCTCCCCCAAAATTCTTGACAGTTCAATAAAAGATGATGAATTAGCCTCCCTCACTAGATGGTATTTCAAGTGTCCTGCCCCACTCAGAGCCATCAGGAGGAGCTGTACCTCTCAGCTTCCCAGCGGGTTCCGTTTTGTATTGTTTTCCCAGCTGCTCCCATCCCCTGGCATTTAGTGTCAGCTGGGGATGCTGCAGAGTAGCTGGGAAGAAAAACAGAGCTGAAGGACTACAGTGGTCATTAAGAAAAATAACAGCTTAGAGAGTGCAGGCTGAAAAAATATAATTATGAAGCTGTTCGCTCTTCAAGCAGACAACTTCCAGTGCTGATAACATTATTTATCACTTGTATAGCACTTCAGAGACAGTCACTAATTAATCCTTGTGACACATGTGGAAGTTATGCCAGTACGTATTAATCTCCTGCTTTTATTGTGCAAGGAAACAGAGACTTTAAGAGCCCAAAGAAGAAGTAAAGGTCAAAATGAGCACTAAAGCAGAGAGATCGTAGAATCATAAAATGGTTTGGGTTGAAAGGGATCCTTAAAGGTCATCTAGTCCAACCCCTTGCACTGAACAGGGACATCTTCAACTGGATCAGGTTGCTCAGAGACCCATCCAGCCTCACCTTGAATGTTTCCAGGGATGTGGGTCTACTACCTATGGGCAACCTGTTTCACCAGCCTCATCATAAAAGAGTTTCTTCCTTACATCTAGTCTAAATCTACCCTCTTTCAGTTTAAAACCATTGCCCCTTGTCCTATTGCTACAGGCTCTGCTAAAACATCTGTCCCCATCTTTCTTATAGGCTATTTTTAAGTATTGAAAGGCTGCAATAAGGTCTCCTTGGACCATTCTCTTCTCCAGGCTGAACAACCCCAACTCTCTCAGCCTTTCCTCACAGTAGAGCTGTTCCATCCCTCTGATCATTTTTGTGGCCCTCCTCTGGACCCGCTCCAGCAGGTCCATGTCTTTCCTGGGCTGAGGACTCAAGAGCTGGGTGCAGTACTCCAGGTGGGGTCTCACCAGAGCAGAGGGACATAATCACCTCCCTGAGATGCTCAGTCCCAGCAGAGTGCTTGTGTCACGAAGGACACCTCTTTCTGTAGGATGGTGAAAACCAGTGCAAAGGGGATCCTTTACCCCCCCTATTGTAACCACAAGCCTGTACAATAAATCTAATAAAAAAGAGAAAAATGGCTAAATATTGTTAGACAAATTCATTGTACAAAGGCAGCAGAGACCTTTGTTTAATCCAGCACTACAGGTGATCCCCATGCCTGCGGAGCAGGGCAGGGGACTGCTCTCTGTCTTCCAGGACAAAGCTCCCCTTGGGTTTTCTGCCACCCAGGCTGCCTGCTGCACAGGAGACTGTTTTGTCCTGTGAGAACCACAACCAGGCTGCTGCAAAGGGGAACAAGGCAACACATCATCTTATCAGTCAGGCTAATGCTGCTTGAGGGGAAATACTGCCAAAAATACACAAGAAAACCAGGAAAGAAAACCAGAAACACTTGAGAGCCTGTCTGAGCAACCTGGCAGTTAGCACCGTCTTCCAGAATCAGCTTATTTCTTCTATTTAATAGGCAGAGGGAGTTGGTTCTTTCTTCATTCAATTTGTGTTAAGCTTTTTCTTTTAATGGCAAAACCGAGGCAGTGGGTGCAAAGGCAAAGCAACCTAGGTGAGTGTGCTGGTTTAAGCTGGAGTCATCTGAGCAAAGACTTTTGGCAATCAGTGAAACTAGTTTTGATTTCTCGAAGCAGAATAATTCCTTGCTAGAACACCCTCATTTCGCATGTTCTGTGTGCTGATGTATCACAGAGTTCACAGCGATACCAGCAAGACCACAAAAACTGCTGTAACACACTGGGTTTGCAACCCAGCTGCTGTGATGCCATCTCCAAAATAGCTCACACGAGGGGTTTGCAAGGGCAGCTATGGGCTGGAGTGGGGCTGAAGCTTCCTCTTGACGTCTCGCCATGAGGAAGCCGTGAGATCTCCGGCTGAACCTCGGTTGTATCACCAGCGACAGGTCACTCTAGAGAGCTCCGCTCGGAGGGCCCTCACTGCGGTGACCCGCTGCAGCGCTGGGCTCTGTGGCCTCCCTTTAAGCTTCTCCTTCAACATCCCGCATTTGCTGTCACCACGTTCACCTGAGCGTGCTTTGCACTGGTGTTTCAATACCCCGAGACTCGCAGATCCCAATTTCATCATTTTTTCCTGGGTAAACAATCATGGGCTTTTCAATTTCTCTTAAAATCAGTTTTTCTGTTTCCCTAATGATTCTTAACGCTTATTGTTGAATCTTTTTTATTTGTTTTGAAGTCTTTTTACATGCCTACCTGAACTACCTAGATAGTTCATCTAACTATCCATGCTCTAGAAAGACATTTCTGCAGAAACTGCCAATATTTCAATCCAAATTTACTTGCAAATTAAAAAACAAAAACAAAACATGCTTGAAGAATTATTCATAGCTTTTATTTTTTTACTGGAGCCCCAAAGAATCCTAATTGGCTTGTAAGTATAATTCTGATTTTACACTTGATACTCATTAATTTATGCCTTTTATCAGCTACCTTTTTCCTTTTAGTTAATTACTTTTTGCTTAAAGGAATTGTTTCTTCTCTGTTTTTTGGCACATCTTCCCCTTCCATTTGGAAAATACTGACTCCTTTTCTCTTCCTAGTTGGGCACACGCTGTGTAGCAAAAATGTTAAGCCTGTTTTCAGCATCTACCCTTCACATACATCTGAGCAGCTGACCTGAGTTGCAGGATTTCTCCTTCACTGATGGTGACAATCAAAGGCAAAGTATGACCGGGAGCTAAGGAAACTGGTGCAACTTCTGGTAGAACTGAGATGCAGAGAATGTGAGAGGGGAAATGCTGCCAAAAATAGGGAAGGAAACCAGAGGAGAAACCCAGCATCACTTGAGAGCCAGGTCTTGACCTTAGAAGCAACAGAACTGACTCCTGTTTGGCTTCCAGTAATTTTCAGCAATACAGATGCAAGTTTTCTTGCTAAGCACCATTTAAAATTAATGACAGTATATTTGTTAAAAATTAACCTTGGAAAGAAAACTATCATATCAACAAAACTAATCAGCACTCGCTTGAATCAATCATCACCGTTGTCTTTTCCCTTGCCCTGCCAGACTGTGTGCTGCTGCTTTTCCATTTGTTTCTGTTCCACGGCAGTAAATGACTTTCTCTTGAACCTTCCAACCAGCCCCATCAGCTGGTGCCAATGGTGGTCTCACCATGACAGCAGCTGGTGGACTGAAAACAACTGATCAAACTTCTCAGGTGATTGCACTTGTTGTCACACCTGCTTAAGTGCCACCTTGTTGCCAAGAGAAAAAACTCTTTACCTGGGGGACTGCTAAGGAAGGTAACATATGGAGAACAACAAATACAAATCATCTCTCAGCATAATGAGCTTTTTGCTTGGACTTGCACAACTAACGTGGTGTGGTACTTACTTCTGGTCCCAGTTTCTCCAGAAGATGATGAAAAAAACTGTCGAGCTCCTTCCCTTCTATGTAACCATTGTCTAAATAAAAGTCAAACATTATTAATAGCCTGAGCTCTGGGACCCATCTCATGGGCAGCATGCAGGGGGCCCAAGGTTGCTGGTTGGGGTCTCCGCCGGGGGCCCTGCCTGCCCACTCGGGGGCTTCCTATTTGATTGGATCAGTTCACATCTATGTGGGTGCCGCGCACAGCGTTGTGGAGCTCCCTTAGGGGTTCTCCTCACAGAAAACTTTTCAGGAAAAAAACCCCACAAATTGGGACCGCAAGAGGGAAGAGCACAGGGAATGGGGAGGTGATGAAAAGGCAGAAACTTTGGGGTGAAAAGGCGGATTTTCATGCTTGATATTAGGGCATGATGAGGAGGAAGAGGG